AGATATGTCTAGTTTCCAAAGGTTCAGCACATAAAGGTCATTGTGCATCCTTTCCCTTGTGTTACCCAGCATGCAACTTCAAATTTGACCCTGACTCTGACTTTGATTGGAGTCTGTGTCTTCTGGCAACGCCCCAGTTGGTTGAGGATGTCTGAAGCATTTCTCAGAGTGCGTGATGGGCCCTGGGGAGGGGTGAGGTGTGGGGGGTGGGGTGGAGCTGTAAGAAGCGGCGAGATGTCGCTCTCTTCCCTCCAGCCCGTGTTTCGCAACCAAGCAGGTGGGTTGCAATCTTCCTCCATCTTCTTCCCCTCGTTTTTTCCCCTCTCCTCTGCTTTTTCTTCCTCCCCTGGAGCTACAGCATGACACGGGCAGCTTGCAGAAAGCCAGACAGCATCAATCGCAGGGTGGTGAGTTAGTGTTCACCCTTTCGGCTCACTTTGGAGTCATCAATCACTGGTTTTGGGACATACTTTGGTATGTTGGTGACTCTTAACAGGCTGGTCACCATTTGTTTTAATGTACAGCTTAGGCTCTAGATATTAACTTTAGGTTAGTACAGAACACTTTGTTTTCATTACAAATGTATGTTGATAAGATTTACTGGGTTAAATTCGATCATTCTTTATGTTGTGTCATCATTCACAGACTGCTAATTGTTGTACATTTTTCCTTTGGGGACCATTGGATAGCAGATTGTCTCTGTAAAAAATAATTTGCATGGTGTCGTGGCCTTAAGACTTCTTATGCTAATCTTTGAATTCTTGTACTTAAGTGTTTGGGTTTAACTTGAAAATGAATAGCTGATGGCTACATGTTCTTAAAAAAATGCATTTGAATGCACTCAGTTGAGGTTGCTACAAATAGGACCATTATGCAACCATACAGACGATGGTTAATTTCCTCTGGAAATATGTTGCGTTGCCATAATTAAGCCACAGCATGAAACATATTTAACAGACCAATAGACACAGCTAGTGATAAAGAAATTGATTTGTTTTGATCCACGTAGAACGCAAAATCTGGCTTTATTGAGTGTTATTGTTTCATGGTTCTTTCAACACTGAATATTGCATGAGAATATTACTGTACGCTTGAATGGACGTTTGCACTGAACATCGAGTGAAAATCAAGCGAATGCCGCCACTCATAATGTGAGGCGTTTTAATTTAAAAAAGAACAAGCCATGGAAGATATTCGGCCAACCAATCACAGGTGCTAAAATCAACATGTTTTACATATATAAGTGATTCAAGTGTAGGCATTTCGACTAGTATTGCTGTCATAAATGGACCGGTGTCTAAGGACATGGTCCGACAGTCAGTCACATCACAGTTATGACAGCACAGAAAATAATAAAATATTCAACCCATATGGGCAAGCTTTTAGGGCAGCTCTCTGGGGTCTATCCTGCTAGCAGAATTGTTTCTGACTGTTCTTATAAAAACTTATCTCAATCACAATGGAATATTGATGTATAGTCCCAATAAAGTATGGCATATTGTGGTAGTCTGCTGCATCCTCCACAATTTAGTGCTTGAATTACTTTAACTTGGACTGGCTTTTAACAGGAAAAGGATATATTATCCATAGAGATAGTGGGCTATATGTGGGACAGGACAGTGAAGTGATGGTCAGAAATGGTCAGAAAATCTGCTAGATATCAATTCATAAGTCACAGTTCAGTTTAAATAAGAATGATTGGACCTACTGTAACAACACGTGTGGCCCTGTAAAACAGCAGTGGTTAAGTAAGAAGTATGTCTTCTTACCAACTAACCTGCCTACTGTATATTGCCTATTCCAGGATCCGCCACTGTCTGCAGAGCATTTTTCAAGAGCATTTTTCAAGAACTGTGACAAATTCCAATCCAAAAAGCCAAATGTTGAGGTAATTATTCCCTATTCATGAAAGCATTAATTGATATTTTTGGTGAATCACTTTTTATTTTGGTAAACAATCATTACATTTATGATTTATGTCAAATTTGCATAATAAGACAGCATTTGCTTCTAAGTGAAGAAATGCATAGTGTTAAACAGTCAAATTGTTTAAATCTGACTTTAAAGTCATGTAATCTCAAACTGCACTAGAGGGGAACTCATTTTTCCATCGACAATGTGCTTCAATAAAATTTGTCACATTTCATTTCTCATGGTCAATTAACAGGAAAACTGAGAAATGGAGCCAATGTTAATGGTATTGAAACTGAAGATATTGAGAATATGAAACATTCAAACCCCAAAGGTTTTTAAGACCAACAGCCAAAATTAGATCATGTATTTCCTACTTGCGGCATCCTGTGAAGTCACAAGAAGTGAAGGTTTAGCCACCATTCTGGCTGTACAACAGTGACATTCCTGCTGAAATCACTCTCTCAAAGCAGTGGGCGCACTCAGCGGGGACATAGGTGTGTGGAAACAAGACTGTCAAGGTGACCTTAACCAGTGAGCTCATGCCAAAAAGTGTCCTCCTGGCAAAGGATGCCCAACTAAGATAGAGTACCACAGTTTCAGATGTTTACTGGTGCATTGTGGGAGGGCGAATGCACAGAAAGCAGGAAGCCCTAGAAATCTCTCAGGCAGGTAAGGATTCAGCAGAGTGCATATTAGGGGAAATTGTCAGCTGGCCTGGTTATTGATTTGTGTTGGTGGTCCACTTGCAGCTTCAATTCACATTCGTCTGAACTCAAGACTACCAGAACATCATAGCACCAACAAGTCAATAACTCTACCCAGGTGTTAAAGCATTAGCTGCTAATGTGCGTGTGTAAACTCTGGATAAATGCAGTAATTTTACTCTTGAAAAGCACATGACAAGCAGTTTAGACAAGCACATGTTGATGTTGTCGATAGATTTTAATATACCTCAAGCTTGACATCACAATTTCAGATAATTGTGTCTGCTGCTCCCTTAAATGATGGAATCACATTCATGGTCATTGTATGTAATTATTTCCTATAATAGTTCAATGACTATCACTTTATAAAAGTGCAATTTCTTCTTGTAATTTAATAAAAGTGAAAAGTGTTCAATAAAACAGAACATCATAAAACTGGACATTAAAAAAACAGTAATAAACAAATGAAATGAAAAAGTAAAACAAGCAAACTTGAGCTTCTGTTTACCCTAACTGTGTGAGTTGTTAAATGTTTATATGGGAATAAATGTCTATATTCAATCTGTTCATTCTATAAAGCATATAAAGATTGTGTCTCTTCAAATTAAAAAATTGGACTAAACCACTCAATTCATATGGATTCGTTTTACGATCTCTTTATGACATTTTTTGAAGTGTCGATTGCACAGCTGTCAGATCTTAAATATCTCATATCTATTTACTCATAAATATGAGTAAATGATGACAGAATTTTATTTTTTGAGTGAACTATCCCTTTAAGTAAAAGTGGTGGCATCAGCAATAGAATCATAAGAAATAATTTTCTGCCAAGTATAGTCAATTTGTCTTACTGTTTGGTGTTTAATATTGTGTTCACGCAGCTTTAATTTCTGCAGTGAAATGTATGTGGTACTTTTTATAGTGGCTTCAAATGCTCATCCAATCAGACTTTAGAATAGATCTGTTGTGTAATATACGTTGTGTCATCTCTAATCTTGAATTTACATTATTGTATAACAGTATCAGATCTTAAGCTAAATGTGTCAAGTGCTCCTGGAGTTAAATAAGGGAGAAACAAGGCTGTTGAAAAATCAATAATGATATTTTTAGTGTGATTGCGCTCATACTCGCACCCACCGAGCCTATTTCTAATGCAAGAATCTTCAGAAACACCCACATGCTGGTGTTAAGAGCCCTGCAGGGTCTCTTACAATTATTATCCAGTCGCTTTCAGCCTCTCAAAGTTTTCTTTCCTTCTCGCTCTGCCCTGCATACATTATAAAAGTGAAGAGAGAATATGTTCTAGCTCGTCAAACGTTTCATCAGGAAGACCAAATGTCCTGGACATGAACGTCTCCTGGGTAGACTTGAATATATTGAATTTTAGATGTAGATCTTGCAAGAATTACTCAGCATCTTAGAATCAATATGAATAATTGAACTGCAGATTTTGACATAATGAAAGAGGTTGAATATTTCGATCGATTTCTGTAAATGCCAGTATATATCTCTTTGTCTTGTATAAATGGATTTCATGACGATATAGCTGTCAATTTAGTCTGTAGAGCAGAATAACAAATAGCCAATAGTCATGAGAGAGTTGAATACAAAATATGATCATATCTGAAGAGCTGAGGATATGCATCCACAAACATGTTCAAACAGAGCTAGCTTAGAAAAGACCAAGAGAAAGACAGTAGGTGATAAATATCAGTTTACAATTTAACTAATTGTAACTAATTTAGACAGAAAATTAGTTTGCAATGAACTGGGCCATGTCACACAAGCCCGTACAATTGTGCTCGTACATATGCATTCACACCTAGCTAGGATTTTCAACTGGGTCAACAAAGTCGAGGGTGTTAAAGCTACTGTTTAATACCCTTCATTAATTAGACATGATCTGGCAAATTGAGAAGACTGTGGAGAAAAGAGAAATATTGTCAATAGTTAATGAGATTTGAAGTGCCAAGACACAGAGAACACTAATTAAGAGAAATCATATGAATAAGATGGTGACAGTGAGTCAACATACAATAACTGGGCTTTGAAATATGAATGAAGGTGTACTGCAATCATATTATCAGTTCTGGTTCTTTTGATGAATGTTTGGCAAGGTCTAATAAAAGATCAACCTTGTCGGGACAAACTTTCTCTAAAAAAAAATCAGAAGAAAAAACCTTGAAAAACCAATCAAATGGACCATCTCTACAAAGGAATTTATTTTTTCATAAATCAGACTAATAATCTCCTTATTCAATTTAAAAGTTGTACACTATTTCCTGTCACCAGGCACGATAAGTAAGGAAGCCGCCAGAATTTGTGGTGTTTTTGTTTCTGCTTATAATTTTGTTTTATTCTTTTCTCTTTCTGTCTCTACAGCTGGGATGACAGTAGTTCGGTCAGCAGTGGTTTGAGTGATACTTTAGATAACATCGGCACTGACGATCTGAATCCACCAACATATTCCGGCATCACATCTCGCAAGAGCAAAGCAGCACAGGTGTGCATACACACATTTTTATAAATAGCTTTGTATCAGCAGTCTGTCAGTAGGCCACAGCAGATTGAACAGACTGAGTGATTTGGACATTTTGCTTTGGCTAGTAAGAAAAGTTTAGCCATCTGTCAGACGGATTGCCAATGTGAGATTACCGTGTTTCGTGTGTCTCTGTGGTTCACAGTCAAATAAAGATACGCACAGTCATACCGAGCAGGATGGTAGCAGCTGGGCTGGTGCTGAGGATCTAAAGAAGGTTGATGAAGAGATGGATCCAGGTATGGACCCTTCCTGCAAGTGGAAGTCTTCATCCAATTCCTCTTCATGTCAGGGTGAGGACGTTGGCCAGAAGACAGCTTTGCCCATGTCTCAAACAGGCTCCTGGAGGAGGGGCATGAGTGCCCAGGTTGGCATCACACCACCACGGACCAAAGGCTCATCCACCTCTCTCAAATCACCAGGTATCAAAATCTCACACAGTGGTACTTTGTAAATACGTGGAGCACTATTTGTGGTTTCACTGAGAGAGACACTGTCAGAAAGGTGCTCTTTTCAAAAATGGCAGTTCTCTGAAGGAACTTTCAAAATGGAACCCACAATTTTCTGTAAGGAAGCATGAAAGATACAGTTGCCTTTTCGCTTGTTACAAAACCAAGGGCATATCAGTGATATCTGTCTGTAGGGGACATTTTATGCATGGTATTCAAAATAAATGCTTACTGTGCTTCAAAGAGAAGGTAAAATCAAAAAGAGAAGTCTTTATCTATTTCTTTATCTCAGCAAACTTTTGCAGCTGAAGCTCTTTTGGTACACTCAGCAGGAACACGTTATTTTGGCTTAGAGTACCTTATCTGTGCTGTTTGCTGAGTTGTGCAAAGAAGGGCCGTTGGCTTGAACACAAGAGCCATTATGGATTGGGTTGTGGAATTATTTGCAAAAAAAAACTTGCCAGCAGTATTGAATGATTGATCAGGAGGTACTTGTGCCATAACAAACATATTTGTGCTGACAGGTAAAACAGATGATGCCAAGGCATCTGAGAAGGGCAAGGCCCCATCTAAGAGCCCAAGCATCCAGCGCTCACCATCGGATGCAGGCAAGAGCAGCGGAGATGAAGGGAAGAAGCCACCCTCAGGCATCGGTCGTCCTCCTACCACAAGCTCCTTCGGGTTTAAGAAGATTCCTGGTTCCGCCGGAGCCCTCATCACTACCAGCGGGGCCACTCTGACCAGTGGATCTGCGACTCTAGGCAAGGTACCAAAGTCTGCAGGCATTGGGAAGGGTCCAGGTGTCGGCAATGAGCGGAAGACAAGCCTCGATGGTGCTCAACACCAGGATGATGCCGTTTTGTTAGGCTGTGGAGGCTCCAAGGTTCCACTCCAGTATCGCTCCCTACCTAGACCGGCAAAGTCATCAAGTGGGGGAAGCAGCGTGGTGGGCCGCAGCGGGCATCGTTCCAGCTCTAGCAGCATTGATTCTAATGTCAGCGGAAAGTCTGCGGGAGTTAGTGGAGGGGTGGTTGGAACCCCAACCAGCACAAAGAGAAGAGACCCCGGGAAAGTGGGGTCAGGACGCTCTAGTCCCATTACCATCAACCAAACGGATAAAGAGAAAGTGGCAGGTTCGGATCAAGAGGGAACGGGGTTGTCCACCTCCCCCAAATCCAGTCCCACTTCCACCCAATCGGGACTCAGACAGCCAGGCTCCAAATACCCAGACATTGCATCCCCCACATTCCGCAGGTAAGCGACTTTCTTTCTGAATAAAATGACTGGGGTAATGGGAGGACAAGAAAAGTTAGACAAAGATGACAAAAGGCAGACATAAGCAGAGATAAGACTAAAATATGAAAGCAAAGTAGGCAGTTAGCTTGACAAATGGACACAAGCAGACAGTAAAAATGAACAATTGCTTTTTGTGGTTTGGCTCACTCTTGCGATGTCATGACCTCTTGGCCAGCATGTCGGAGCGTTCCCGCATGTTTCCTCAGTAAGTATGTGAGATGGACGTGAGCTGCTTTAGGCTGTGCTGCACTGCTGATTTGATCCACCAATGAGATTAGGCTTACCTCAGAGATCCAGGAAAGTTTGTGATGGATTACGGAGCTCATTGTTTGAGTCATAGCCATAGCCTTCTGTCTCACTCTTGTATTTCCCCCAGCCACCATTAGATGACCTGAAATCTTGCTAGCAGCCCACAAATGTTCTGATGAATAGAGAAGGATCTAATTTAAATCAATAGTTCTCAACTGGTTTTTATGCAGAACCAGATTTCACAATGAACATCAGGGGATGACCTATGTAGTAGCAAAAAAAAAAAAAAAACGTATATTGGCAAAAAAAAATCAAGATTGGTCATGTGTCTGTTGTTTGGCTACCAGTGAGTGTTTTATTTATTTAATTTTTTTGCCAGAAAGTTTTTATTTTTATTTATTTATATTCTCCGTTGTCTGAGTCTCATAACAGCCTGCAACCCATTTTTGAGAATCGAAATCACTTTAGCAGTCTTTGCACACAAGGCAGATTAGGGTCAGATTGCCACCTGGTGGTTATGGAATGTAAGTGCATATGTGGAAACATTCCTCAGGGAGCATGATTTGCCATTCTAATCAGACTCAATTCAGCATTGATTAAAGCAGATGGAGTGAGTGGATTTCCAGCACACTGATCTCTGTATTAGTAGGTATGTCCATTTAAAAACATGTCTACATGGTGCGCTGCTCTGCTCCATCAAGCCGAAGCGTAATAGTGTAATTTGCTTGCCTCCGGCTGTTATTGCTAGAGCCATACAGTGATAACCATGGGCAGATCCACCACTGAAAGCATATTTGATTATGTACAAGGAGTAGAAACTGACCAATTAAGTTATTGCATCTACATCTTCATGAAAGAGCAAATGTGTGTAAACTGTTTCTGAAATCAACTCAATTCATTGCGACAGTTTCCATAAGGAATGTTTATGAACAATTTGTTGTCTTGTTTTCACTTTGTCCAGGTTGTTTGGCAGCAAGTCTAGCAGTAAACCAAGTTCCCCTGGAACCCCTGACTCTGGTAAATGCCCATCGGCACTGGGCAGTCCTCATGGCACACTGGCACGGCAGGCCAGCCTGGATTCACCCTCCTCGGGAACAGGTAGTCTGGGCAGCATGGGTGGGCAAAGTGGAGGCAGCAGCCCGTTGTACGGCAAAACGCCCGACCTGGGCACTGACTCCCCCGCCTCTAGTCCGGCGTCAGGCCTCTCTCTGCCCTCTAACGCCCGGCCTTGGCCTCCGAACCTCAGCAGTTCCTCTGCGGGCAGTAAAGACACACTGAGCTGCCACAGTATGACCAGTTTACACACAAGCTCAGAGTCCATAGACCTGCCACTCCCACATCACCACGGGGCAAAGGTCACCCGCACGGGCAGTGTCAAGTCCACCCTGTCTGAGGGGTAAGTGCAGATATCCATATGGTATTAATTAAGTGATAAGATGACAATGTATTGCTTATTACATGATGTTTAATGAAATAATGGAGCATTAGTTTGTTGTTGAAATCTGTTAGTTTTGAAATGATCAAACTGCCTGTTTTGTGGTAGATAACTCTCTTATTTTTCTTCTGTTTTAATAGCATGCCTCTTGACAGAAACACTCTCCCCAAAAAGGGATTAAGGTACTAATATAACCACCATCCATGTAATTGTCCTCACAAATATATTTTTGTTTATGTTGTCACCTCCATCAAGTAACTAGCATTAATATTCTCGTCAACTGCGTTTGAATTTGTGTCACTTACCCATACATGTGTACATGTATTAGTGGTGTTTGCTAAAGCAAGCATTACTATTATTACTCATACTTAGCCATTGAAAACCCCAACCCTAAATATTAAACTTTAGCACATCATCCTGTACAGTTTGTGCTACAGACATTAATGATTCCTTAAATCATGTGGCTTTTTGATGAGAGCTGTGCACATTTCGATAACGAGTGAAAATATTCTGTAGACTGGCACTACCATTCAAAGGATGCATTAAACTGACCAATAAACAAATCAGCATATAACAATCTGAATGTGACACTAAAAACTGGAAGAATTCAGCTTTGCCATCACAGTAATCAATTGCATTTTAAAATATTTTAAGATAGAAAACAACTATTTTGAAACACTTTAGCAACACTTTAACAACCCACAGCACTGGGAGTGTTCGCAAAATGTTTTACATATCCACCGTGGCTTGTCAAGTTGTGACTCATTGATTTTTTTAATACTTATTTAATAACACTTTTAGCAAACAGTAACATGCTCTTAAGAAGCAATTAAATATTCACAGAGATAAGCACAGAATTTAAATGAAATCAGACTTTCATTTAAATGAAATCAGGCTCGTGTCCAAACCACTATAAAAGAGCCATCAATCTGCAGTCAGGACGAAAGATAAACTGTGGAAATGCTGGATGCGCGTGAAACCTTCTATTTGCAGTTAAATCGCAATGTGAGCAAATCATTTAGGTCACAATATGGTATTTTAATTCCAAAGGCTCAGGTAGGCAGTGCAGATAGTCCAGTCAGGAAGATCCACGTGATCTCCATTCGTTTTATGGAAAGCGTCTTTGACGCATACTAAGTCTGCCCACTGCCTAAAGCTATCACTGCAGAACAATGGATGTGAGACTGTGTGGGCAGTTATTATCTAGCTTTGTTGTATAAATCATGTTAAGCCCTATCACAGCTGAAGATTTAGTGCTTTTAGTTTAATAGACTCAATAATTGGAACAGTTGCATTTATTTATTTATATATATATATAAACATCTTGTGGAATAGCTAAAACTGTCTATTGGCCCTCCAATCAGGTATCCTCCATCCTCCAGACAGACATCACATGAGGAAGGAAAGGAATGGTTGCGTTCTCACTCCACTGGAGGTCTGCAGGACACAGGAAGTCCACTTTCACCACCGGGCACAACCAGCACCAACGCTGGCAAATACCACTACTCAAACCTGCGTATGTAAACATATATCATATCTGAGTTATACTTTACAGTAGAACACCTACAATTTCTGGATTTCTCATTCCACCATAAACAGACATCATTTTGTGACATCATGACATTTGTGTTGCAGTGAGTCCCACCAGCATGTCACAGTATAATCTTCCCAGCACCAGTATGAGCCGCTCCAACAGTATTCCAGCACAGGATTCATTCGAGCTGTACGGGGAAGGTCACACTTTGGGCGGCAGTGCCACCTCTCTGGAGGAACGGCCTCGCGGGATGAGCCGGTCCGGCTCCTTCCGAGACAGCACCGATGAAGGTTAGCACTGAAGTTACTTCCTCTAGAAGAATGATTTATTTATTTAAATCCGTACCATTGAAATGCCTTTTCTATGTAGTTGTGCATGTACCTGTAATTATGCATGTCTGTTAGAATTCTTTTGGTTTCCTTTAGCATTAAAAACAGAAATATTTATATTGTTATGTTGTTCTGCTCTGTCTACAGTTCATGGTTCTTCTCTGTCTTTGGTCTCGAGCACATCATCTTTGTATTCTGCGGTGAGTGACGCTATAGTCTTCCTACAGAATCTTGTGATGACTAATCAGTCAGATTTCAATTTCAACATTTTACAAAAATAAATCAATAGTACTTTTCAAATATATATATATATATATATATATATATGGGCTAAAGGCACATGTTTTATTTTAATTATATTTATCTCGAAACATTTCACTATGCAAGTTAAAAGTTATTCATGTGATCGCATCAATGCAAAGTCGATTCTTATATAGTAATATTGTTTTTTTTTTTATTTTTTAAAAGTTAAGATTTATGTAGCAAATGAAAATCATATAAATTACCAAATATATTTTGAGACATAAGTATTATTAATGATTTTTATTTCCATTCAGTTTTTCAAAAACTGAAGAATATGTTAAATATTGGTATTTGAGGGCTAATGGATCAATATTTAATGTGACAATTAACTGGCTGACCTTTACAACTGTTGACATGACATGGTTAGATTTAAAAGGTCAAAATAATTTATTAAGCTGTTTATCCACCTTAGAGATAATCACCATATTTATAATAAAACTACAGACTACATAATATATAATGAGACTACAGTATTCCACCAAAATAAAAGTTTAATGGTTTTAAGAAATTAAAACGAAAGGTATTGTAACGTAAAATAATATACTTATTATTATTATAACTCTTAAAGTGCACCATATTGATGCATAGAACTTTAAAATGTACAAACTTTTCTGACAGGGGACCACATCCCCGGACCCCCCTAGAGGGACTGCAATATATATATATATATATATATATATATATATCTATATTATATTATATTATATATTATATTTTATATTTTAGATATTCTGCAATCATACTACTGGAGTGGTGAAAAATCGATTTTTATTACGGTGTGCCTTTAGCCCCATTGTACCCTAAGATTATAAAAACTCCGTTTGAGTGTGTATTTTTTTTATATTGATTTTATCGCATGCTATTATTTATTTGAACTAATTTGTGCTTTCATTTTGCCTACGTATAAACATTTTAGTTTTATATTTGATATTTATTCTTTTTTTTTAGAGCTGGGTTTCCTTTGAAAATATAATAGATACACATTATATTCCTTGCCTGAGTCTCGCTTTCTATATTAAAAGTCATTTTAGATCATAATAAATTCATTAGTATTAACTGCTAGTCTCTGAATAACTGTAACATCATACATGCTGTTTCCATTTGCCTGAGCTTGACAAACTAATAACTTTAAAGGGTAATTTATCGGAGAAGACGTCAAAGTTGAATATTTAACCTCCACTATTCACCAAGGCTATAAATGAAGACTAATGACGAGATTTAGACCCATCTCAGAGGCTCATGGTGGCTCAGTATTGTGACTTTGCCACTATTTGAACACACATTTTCTCACTTTCAGGTGCTGGCCTTTTTAGACAAGGTAATAATTTGTCATACAGAAAAGTCTGCTTGTATTCACTTTATATTTTTTGATAAATGCAAACCCTAACAGTCTAACGTTTTGCTTCAAATCAGCTGCTACTAACGGGTAACCATAAATCTGATCCAAATGGCAAAATTCTGATCATTGATTAATTTGTATGGCTTTGTGATTTACCTTTAAGTGTTTGCATAGAGCTGGTGTGGATTTTGGCTTCTTAATTCTTTCTTCTTATTGGATATAATAGGGAACACTGATCGTAGATTTTGAATGCAAAAAAAAAAAAAAAAAAAAGAAAGAAGACTATTGGATGTTGGTAATATTGTATTTGGGTTATTTCCATCTCCTTTAACTGTTGTTTTCTCCCACAGACGGAGGAGAAGGCCCACTCTGAGGTAAGAATATCTTGTTTCCTAGTGATTTTGGTAATACGTAAAAGCAATAAAAGGTCAAACAGTGATACACTTTCACAAAGTCCAAAATCAGTTGCGCCTTTGAATTGGACAACCACCCCAATACATTTACCAACAACACACATATTTAAAAAAAAAAAAAAAAAAAATACACTATGTTGCATTATTTTATGAGACACTCTTATGGTATCAATATCTTTAATTCACTTGTATTCACTGGCTCACGTGCAGTCCTGGACAAAAATCTTTAAAAACTCACAACCCTAATGTCCCAGGTTTGGTTTTATTTGGACTCTTGTTCGTTTGATCACTGATTTTCCTTTGATTTCACATTATTTTGTGTTTTTGTGCCATTAAAGGGATAGTTCACTTTGAAATAAATTGTTGATATGTTTTAGCTTACCTCAAGGGCATCCAAGATGGTGTCTTAGTTTGCACAGTATTTTCAATTTTGATATTTAAAGGTCAAGCCGTTCTTGTCTGTCAGTCATATAATGGAAACCTATGGGGTCCACCTCAAAGAGCATGCTAATTTGGACTTCTTAATTTGGACTCCTCTGTGCATGCTCTTTGAGGTGGACCCCATATACCTCCATTATATGACTGACAGATAAGAACGGTTTGACCTAAATATAGCAAAATTGAAAATACTGTGGAAACAAAGACGCCTGCATCTTGGATGCCCTTGAGGTAAGCTAAAACATACCAAAAATTAATTTCAAAGTGAACTATCCCTTTAATATTCTCTCTCCTGTTGTCATATTTTTCCAAGACTGCAGACTTCTATATATGATGTGTCATGTAACGCTTAACAACTAACGAACAGCGTTCTGTGTAACTACTAAAAACAAATGTATTCCTGTCTGCATTGTGTACGAACATGCAACATAGAGTTAATTGTACTCTTCTTTTCTCAATCAAGGGCCAAACAGTCCAAAATACAACGGTAATTTCCCATTTTACATACACTCTCTTCTGGTATAATACAAGAGAAAGCACTTCAAAGTCTTACATGCAGAGTGCTTACCTGAGGCCACTGATTGATATCTAGGTTCTTTTGTTAAGCAAAGAAAATGAAAGCAGTTTATTCTCCATTGTTTGAGTGCACAGCTCATTGAGGTTTGTAATGAGAAACCACATTTTTTCCCCACAGCAAATCAGAAAACTGCGAAGAGAGCTGGACGCTTCTCAGGAGAAAGTGGCAACCCTGACCTCTCAGCTGGCGGCCAACGTGAGTTAGATGCTAAAACAAAAAAAAAAAAGACATCACAATACATCTCAAACTGCACAGTAGTAGCTTCTAAAACTGTTAACAGTCAGCATGTTTGGGAATTTGCATTGAAAGCATCTCAAAATCCCGGACTCTGAGGTATTCTGTGATATTCTGAAGAGAAGTTTTAGTTTGTGTCCCTGGATTGTCAAACTAGGGCACATTGTTTCACAGTGTCACGTTAGATTTCTGTGTGAAGGCACTGCAGGAAGAGAGCAGAGTTTGGACCGGGCTGAGCTCTATTCACTTTCCTGTCCCAGGAGTGATGAGGGCAGGTGTGATGAAGGGCTTTGCTCTCTGACAGTTTCGTGAGAAGTGTGACAGAGCATGAGACAGTTCCTGTCCCATCACTCGACCTCCTCTGTGATTTGTGTTTGACAGGATTCGTGTATGGGAGAACTCCTGCGAACTATATCTATTCAAGTCGTACAATTCTTGAGTGGATTGAAATGTCTGCTCTCCAGCTGGATGTTTTTGAACTTCTCAGTGTCAGAACAACTTTTGAAAGTTGGTGCTCATTATTCAGGGATGAAAGAGAACGTCTTTGTTTCTGTTGGATTCTGATCCCCCACAGCAACACAGAAACTATATGAAATGAAGATTAAATTGTACTTCCTTTGGACACTTACTGTACGACAAATGGATTTCATTAGTTATCAAACCAGTATCACAGTTTAAAACCAAGTGGCATTTATTTTAAATTTAGCAAAAGCATAAAAAATGACACCAGTCTGAACTTGCAATTACAATCAGAAAGTCTATAATTTTAATTTAATTTAAGTGTATGTTAAAGGAGTAGTTCACTTTAAAAAAAAAAAATTGCTGATAATTTATTCACCCCCATGTCATCCAAGAGGTCCATGTCTTTCTTTCTTCAGTCGAAAAGAAATTAAGGTTTTTAATGAAAACATTCCAGGATTTTTCTCCATATAATGGACTTCAATGGGAACCAAATGGTTCAAGGTCCAAATGAGAGTTTCAGTGCAGCTTCAAAGGGCTTTAAACGATTCCAGACGATGAATAAGGGTCTTATCAAGCGAAACGATCGGTCATTTAAAAAATAAATAAATGAAAAAGTCTAAGTTTTATAAGCTCAAATGCTCGCCTTGCTCTGTTCTGTGATGCGCGTTTGTGACTCTCCTGTTCAAACTCGTCATCAAAATGAACAAATCTTTTTTCGAGTCATGACTCGAAGGGTCCTTGATAAGACCCTTATTCGTCGTCTGGAATCGTTTAAAGCCCTTTGAAGCTGCACTGAAACTCTCATTTGAAACTTGAACAGTTTGGTTCCCATTGAAGTCCATTATATGGAGAAAATCCTGGAATGTTTTCATCAAAAACCTTAATTTCTTTTTGACTGAAGAAAGAAAGATGTGGACATCTTGGATGACATGGGGTTGAGTAAATTATCAGCAAAAGTTGTTTTTTTTTTTAAGTGAACTACTCCTTTAGTATCCAAATTAGGGTATGAACCCACAAAGTTTCTCTTGATCTTCCATTCAAAAGTTTTTGCCCACCCATTGGTTAATCCTTCAGTATCATGTGCATTTGTATTAGAGAGTCTGTGTCGTGTTGTATTAGGACGTGAGAGAGCTTAAGGATGGCTGTGGCTAACAGGGGTACTGCTTTAGCTAGTTCTCTGCTTTGGCCACAGCTGAACCGTTATCCGGGTAAAGAAAGGTCAAAGAGACGAGACCATTTTGCTCAGATATTGTCATCACAACCACACCAGGTAAGGTGATAACACGAGATTTAGCTTTATATATGTGTTTAAATGTTGCTTAAAAAGCTAGTATGTGGCTTTCATATATGTGCGTATCATAGTTTAAAATAATTTTAATGTCAAAATGTCCACCTTGAGGTTTTAATAGGCGAGAGTTTGCTTGGTGGGATTCATGTGTCAGGCTCCTTTGTGTAAGATTTGTGGAAATGCTGCCTGTTTCAGGTGTGCTTGACTGGGCTGAGGGACTCGGAGTGGACAGATTGTTGAAGGAATATAAATGGATGGACAAACAGGTCATGGCAGGGCATGTCGTAAAAGTGTGTTTATAGAGGCACTCTCCTATTAGAGTCACTCAAGCATTTGGCATTGTGCCTCTCAGTATTCGCTTGGCTTCACTTCCTGGCAGGCATTTTAAATAGTATATACCAAGAAACTTTTGAATGCACCTCTTTTATAAAAACACAGTGATATTTTACTTAAATTTTAGAATTGAAAATGTTTTTATTTTATTTCGAACTACAGGACAGCTATCTAGCTTAAGTCCTCGTTGTTGGATTGTTGGTCAGTTACTACAAATTATGTCCACAAAAAATCTTTAAGAAATGTTTCAGTCTGGATTTAGATCAGAACACAGCAGCGATACCATTCTTGTCTGGGTCACAAACGACTTTCTCACTTCTTCTGACACGGGTGCTTGTAGCATTTTAGTTTTGTTAGACATTAGTGCTGCTTTTGTCACGGTATGCCATACCATCCTTCTTGAAAGGTTGCGTGGCTGGTGATGTGTTTGAGTGGTTAAAATTTTATTTCACTGATCGTTTCCAGTATACTGTACATGTTTGGTGAAAAATAAATTCATGAGGGTGTCCCTCAGGGGTCTGTGTTAGGACCATTATATCTTCTTATCTATTACCAGTGTGGATGATAGACAACTTTCTCAATTAGTCAAAAACCGAAATGCTGCTTGGTGGTATGCCAACGGCTCTGCATAAATGGAATCATTACTGCCGTTCAGTATCTCCATTGCTTGAAATGCTCTACCTTTGGTGATAAGAAATTCCCAGAAACTGGACTGTTCTAAGAAGTCTCTAAAGACTCATCGTTTCAAATCTGTTTGTTATTTTTATTTTTTTATTGTTTGTATTCTTTTTTTTTGTCATAGCACTTTGAGTTTTAGAAAAGCATTATAAATAAAATACTTTTTTATTTTATTTATTTATTTATTTTTTATTATGGTTTAGGCCAAGTCTAACTATTCTATGTATTGTTTGTTTTTTGTTCTGATATGTCCCTTAGTTTTTTAAAACACTATGAGTCAAAGGTCAGATGTTAAACTGGGTCATTTCTCTTGCCAAAAGATTTTTTGGATGTATTAAATTTACTGTATATATTTATTGTGTGGGTGTATATATACATTCACAGACTTGAGAAGTCTTTTCGGCGTAGCTGAGGTCAGGAGAGACTGCTCTTGCACCAAAGCCCTGGGCCTTATGTTCAGACAAGCCTTAGACATTGTGTTTCCTTTGAACTCCTTCTCAGTAACTTAAACCTGAAACATGCTTCAAAGTTCACAGCACTGTTTAGCTTGCCTGTGCAGTATAGATCAGAGATTCCCAGGAGGAATCCTCCAGAGGCTCAGACTGGGTGGATAAAAAGATAGTTTTAAAAAGATGATGTTTTTTTCCTGCTCAAATGCCCAGTATGTGCTGGAAGTTTTATGCACAGAAGGATAAACTTAATAGATCTGAAAATCTATACTGTGGGTCTCACCGTGTACTTATATTAGTTTTACACCCACTACATTCACATTATTGGCTTCATCGGTTTGTGTTGCCGAAAGCAAAGCAGGTTTTGTGTTGTATGATAAACAAGCGTCAGCAAGGACGCATTAAATTGATCAAAAGTCACAGTAAAGACGTTTGTGATGTCTATTTCAGATAGACATCTGTTCTTTTGAACCTTCTAGTCATCAAAGAATATTAAAAACATGTAAAATAGTTGCACAACAGTTTTCAACATTGATAATGATAATAATAAATGTTTCTTGAGCATAAAATAAGCATATTAGAATGATTACAATGGAGACTGGAGTAATGATGCTGAAAATTCATGCATCACAAGAATAATGTTTTAAAATATATATTACAATAGAAAACTGTCATTAAATAATATATATATATATATATATATATATATATATATATACATATATAACGTTTTTTACCGTATTTAATCAAATAAATAGACCATTGTTAAGTTTATTTATTCATGTACCTCTAGATGTTCAGCAACTGAACTTTGACAGCCTTGAACACAGAGAAGTTTAAGTTTGCGATTCTTTCTCAAATAGCCTGTGGATTTGGTAAAGTGTCTTATTAGAACTCTGTGTTGAAAAATCTGCGTGTGTGTGTGTGTGTGTGTGTTTTGACAGGCACACCTGGTGGCTGCGTTTGAGAAGAGTCTGACGAACATGACCTGTCGCCTGCAGAGTCTAACAATGACAGCGGAGCAAAAGGTAGGAAAGGACATACACACACAAATGTGAACAGCAACTTAAATATTTGAATGTTTCCGTGTTTGTTGAGACGTAATAGCACATATTCTACCAATCAAGAGATATTAGTACCATTTTCTAGGGGGGGGCTGAGCAGTCTAAGCAGTTCCACCCATCAATAAAACCATCCAGTCATCATGTAAATATTACCTTCAGGTTAAAATGTGAAACGGCTTCCTTAATGTGCACAAATCACCATCATCGACTTAATGAGTTCCTGCTTCTGTTAGTCCCTCTTGAATAAACCATCAGAGAATACAGAGGGACGTCTTTGTTAAGATGGGACAATTTCAATTAAATCCGAAACCCTATCGTAAGCACTGGAATCTTGAGCTCTGGATCGACAGTGAGACCGTATTGTGATGGAATAGGGGGTTGCAACACATGCTCGGTTCCTTGGATCAGCGGGGCGCTTATCTCCTTGTGCTTTTTTGGCAGGAAACATCTGATAGAGGAATAAGACAGCTGGTGGTACAAGAGGGAGTTTGTGCTTCGCCTACAAAATAGTTTGTGTTGGGTCAAAAACCGAAAGTCCTTTCTAGCGATTCAGAAGTAATGCTGATTTTGAATTAGCAATGCTTGCATCACAATTTTAATTGTGCATATTTAGGGTTTGGAATTTAAACAAACCTCTAACCATAAGTTTTCAACTTTGGTGCGCAACTCTCCCTGCATCATTTGAGCAACAGACATTAATCATAATCGCTGCTCTTTTACTTTACTAAGCGATATGGGGAAGTCAGTTGTGTTTGTATTCAATGTAACTGTGTGTGTTGCAGGAGTCCGAGCTGGCGGAGTTGAGAGAGACCATTGAAGCGTTGAAAACTCAGAACACAGATGCTCAGACGGCCATTCAAGTGGCCCTCAATGGCCCTGGTCATGTTCATAAAGGTGCTGATTGTGTAGCTACTTGTTTCGCAATTATTAAAGGGAATATTTCCGGTTCAAGTTAAAGTGCAGTCACATTTCCCATTGAAATCCATTCATTTCACCAATCCATTCACATGGATTTCGCAATGATATCAAGTTTGTCGCACAGCAAATTTGATGTGTTGACTAACAAAACACTACTTGCATTGAAAATGACTTCTATGTGTACACTATTGATGATAAACAATTAATCTTTTTTTTTTCCCACTAAATTCCACCGCAATTTTTGCTAATGTGACAGCACCTTTTAAACTCAATCGACAGCACTTGTGGTATAATCGATCACCAAAAAATTGAATTTTCACAAGTTGAAAATCCCTTCTTTTGTTTTTCTTTTTTTTTTTTTTAAACATTATGTATGTATGAAAAAACACTTACTAACATTTTCTGTGTAAAGATACATGCCTTTTTACTTAATTCCCATGACATCGTAAAACCTAAAGCCTTAAAACAACCATAAAAATAACAATTTAAACAACTAAATAATAAAAAATACACAGATTTCATAAATATTGGTGCTTTTGTATCATTTTCTGCTTTTAAAATTGGCCCTATTCACGTCCATTGTAGGTTCCACTGTAACTCACAAATGTTTGTCATGTGATGATGACCGTGTGTGTGTGTGTGTGTGTGTGTGGCAGACCTGAGGATCCGTCGACAGCACTCATCAGAAAGCATGTCCAGTATTAACAGTGCTGCCAGCCATTCCAGTATGGGTAGCGCTAAAGACGTAGACGACAAGAAGAAAAAGAAGAAAAGCTGGGTGAGTCATTGCACAAGGCTTCAGCTTCACAGGCTTGTCCGCTTGTAGAATGATGACTACAAATGTGATGAAAGAGCACAGCATTTGAAAAAAAAAAAAGTTACATGAAGTGTATGAATCACTGCATTAGATTTGACGACGGTAGTCCATGTTTAAAGAGCTTATAGAGCCAAAAACAGTAATCTTGCCATACCGAACCAAGCTCAAGAGGAAATAACCGTCCCTTTCCATTCATAGAAATGTCCGGCTTGATGGTTGCATAAATGGCTGCATAAATGACTTCATCTTACATCTTACAGTTTAATGTTTAGTGTAATAGAAATTCAGTATATTTTACATTTGCATTTGGCTGACGCTTTTATTTTCAATGTACATATCTACGTTTTATTAGTTGTTGGTTTCCCTGGGAATCGAACTCACAACCTTTGCAATCTTAGGATCTAGATATTAATGCCTTTTCCATATTTAGCAACTGTGAAACATTGATTAACACTGTAAGAGGACAAAAAGTGTGTCGTTATCGTTTTCTATAAGGCTTGTTTTAAAATTCTTCTATGAGAAAGTGATTTTTAGTTAGTCATCATTCTAATAGTGGCATCCTCTCTAATTCAGTTTCCACTTTGAGAACATCAAGAACACGCAGCACAAACATTTCTGTCATTTCACTCCCTTCCGACTGTCTCGCCCTCTTTCACGCCCTCTCTCACACTTTCTCTGTCTTTCACTTCCTCACCACACCACCAGGGAAAGGATAGAGGACACAAGGTGACTATAACACCCCCTCAAACTCTCCTGCATGCCCGTATAAAAGGATCCGACATGCTCGCCCCATTTTTCCCTTCAGTGGCCCTTAAAACCCCTAAACTTCCTCACCCTTCAGTCCTTGCCCTTTAAAAAACATATCTTTATATCTTCTTTGAGGAATGCACTAATTAAGAACATCTTCTCGCTCAGGTTGCTGTCATTACCGGTGATATATTTTTGTTATTAAGATGCAGTTTTGCATGTTTTACTCCTACTCAGCTGTTCTAGTTCACTCGCGGCTATTTCATAGGTTTTTTTTTTTATCTCCTAATGCTTGGGGGATGTTGTTTATTCTCATTTAGGGTCTACATTAAGTCAAGAGCACTTGAGGTAAACCGCTGTTTGAGAAATAGCATTGGCATTGTGTGTAGCAGTTATAGCAACTTTTCCTCAAGCTGCCTTGGACTCGTGTAATGAGAGCAGAGCTCAAACCGAGCTCATAAATACCAATCAACTCTTTTTTTATGCGCCTATTAATTATTCATCAGCACAATTTGAGGCAGTGTGGTCTCTGGGTTCAGACAGTCTGGAAACACTGCTCAGAGATGAAAGACAATGAGAAAGCAAACTAAAAAGAAAAACGAGTGAGATGAGGGTTGCAATATATAATACATTCAAAGCAGGGCTCAACAATAAGGATGCATTGTGAGTGAGAGTTGTGGGACAGATTTGTTTTCCCCTTTTATTAAATATAATGTAATGCACATGCATAAAAAGAAAATGCTTAAAAAAAATATACATTTATATATATATATATATATATATATATAATATGTGTGTGTACTGTATACTGTATATTAGTGCTGTTAACATTAATGCATTAATGTATGCGATTTACAAATTTTTGTCCAGTTTAACGTATTACAATATTTAACGCATTGGCATAAACTCATCATGGAGCTTTTACTGAATACTTAACTTTCCTTCTTCATTCTTCAAAAGGACGTTTCTTAAATATTTGGACTCCTTATCTTCGCTTTACTAACTCTACCGTTGCATCTATATTGCATCTATATCTATATTTATTTGTATTGTGTCATATGTCCTGAATATTGTCCAGATCTATGTTGTGCTGAGCTTTGTTCTTGTCTGTTAAATTTAAATTTTTTCATTAGAAAATAAAAATAGAAATATTTGAAAATATGTATATATTTAACGCAATTCTTGGCAAGCTCCCACCCTTTGGCAAGCGTAATATTCACGCAAAAGCTTTTAAACCATTCAATTGCGACCAGACAAAAGAAAACTTTATGTTGTTTCTACATTCATTTGGAATTATTACATTATAAAATATATTAAAATGCATAAAAACTTGTTTTTAACAGAAAAAAATTGTGATTAATCTAGTTATTTTTATCTAGAGTCTCTAGACTATTGTTATCGATTGACAGCACTAATAATAATGTGTATACATTTTTGTAAAGAAAACAGAAAATGGATGGATGTGGATGGATGGATGGATGGATGGATGGATGGATGGATGGATGGATGGATGGATGGATGGATGGATGGATGGATGGATGGATGGATGGATGGATGGATGGATGGATGGATGGATAGATAGATAGATAGATAGATAGATAGATAGATAGATAGATAGATAGATAGATAGATAGATAGATTCCTTTACCATTTGTATGTTTTTTTGTCTTATAATAGGCATATATATTATGGCTTTTAATTAAATATATTAGTACATATTTTATATATAATGCACATTATTTGTGTGTTGCAATTGCATAAAATACTTAAAATAAATACAACAAGTACAAATAATACCAGGTCAGAAAAAAAATGTCCTTGTTGTTGAGTGCACCGATGTCAAAGGAAGTTGAGGAAATAGAGTTCCAGTCAAATGCTGTTATGTGGAATGAACTAGTTCCATTGCTGACAGACACAGCCTCCATTCAGATCTAATCTAATCAAATGAACAATGAATAAATGATGCTGCTGTTCCTGAATATTCTGGTCCAGCAGTGTACGTTTCAGTCAATAGTAACAGTGAGTGTGTTCTATCCATAGGTGGCTGATTCCATCCCCGCCCAGGTTAGTGTTTTCACGTCCCACATTACTGAGGCCGTTTGCCTCTGATAACCTCTAACAATCCCCCTCCCCACCCCAACCAACCCACCACCCCCCAACTACACACCCTCCAAATCCTACTGTAGGTGTTTCCATAGAAATATGTGCTTCCCCAGTCCCACTGCCTGCCAGTACTGTATGTTTCTGCACAGTGAATTGCACAAGCAGCCTGTTATTTACCCTCTCAATATATTAACCTTTATCAAATCACCATGTGATGTTTACCAGACGTTTTGAATGTCTTACCTAATGATCTTTTAAGCATTATATAATGATCTTTTAAGCATAATATATTTTTCTTACAGTTGCGGAGCTCCTTTAAGCAGGCCTTCAGCAAGAAAAAGACCAACAAGAGCCAATCATCTCACGATGAGTTTGAAGAGATGACTGACTCATCCCTCCCTTCTTCACCCAAACTCCAACACACCAACAGACAGACCAGCACCACCCAACCACTGCTCTCATCACCGTCCACCACAGAGTGAGTACACACACACACACACACACATATACAGCTCTATGAAATACAGTAGATGCTTTAACATGCACATATTTGTTATGGTTTACTGTCATTTGTTTCTATTTCAGTAAAACTCTAAATGGGCCATTACACATTCAACACATTTATCACCAGTAACTTCCACTTGTGTTTCAGTGATTGTATTTCTTGTTTTGTTGAGATTTTTCTTCTTTTTTGTACTCTTTTTTTATTTGTTTTTATAATCCTATTTATATTTCATCCTATCCCTTAATCATTTCTGTATTCTGCCCTTGTTCCTCAATTCCATGTGTCTTCAGAAAGTGTTTTTGTGATAGCAAGTCCTCCCCCATTTGGATGCCAAAGAAAAAGTCAAACGGTCATGTGGTCTACAAGCACAGATCTCGGTAACGGGCACAGTGTGGCATGCTGGGAAGGATTGAGAGTGTGCAGTGACTAATATTACAAAAGATCCCTTGCCCTATATTTCAGTTTCAAAACATTTTATGTGAGACTTGAGACTGACAACAATATATTCAAATTTGTAATGAGAGATTGTACTAAACATTTTTTTTTGTAAAAACAAATAAAATAAAATAGACAAAGATTTCAATATATGCTTATGAAAAAAAAGGTCAAACTCATCTATTAAAATATTACTTACCGTATGTTGCTTTAACTTCAATAATTTCGCTGTGCTTAAAGGCCTTTCGCACCAAGGATGATTGACTATAATGATAATGAATGTTTTAATATTCATCGTAATTCTATGAGAACAGAAAATTCTACACCACAACTATAACGATAACGACATAGATGAACTATATTGTTGGAATCACTTTCATAAGTATTTTTTTACAGCTTATGAATGATAAAAACAATGACAGCTAATCAGAATCCATCCTGCTTTAAAGAGCTTGAGCATTTAAAGCAGCAGATGACCCAAATGCAGTGAGCTTGTCATAAACAGAACAATATTGTGCATTGGCCTGGACGCTACTGAAGTTATCATTATCATTATTAGGGCCAAGCACCGAAGGTGCGGAGGCACCTATTGTATCTGTGCCGGTTCTTATTATTAGGGGCCAAGCACCGAAGGTGCGGAGGCACCTATTGTATCCGCTGGTTCTATTATTATTATTCTTCTTCCGACTGGGCGTCTATGGCAGCCCATAGACCGGTTTGCGGGAAAGTTGTTTTGGTTTGACATTCTGATAGAGGACAGTCCCAACTTTAAATACACCAATTTTGGTGTCTCTAACTCATTCCCTCTAGCGCCACCAACTGTCCCAAAGTTTCACTTTTATTATGCTAATAACTTTTGAACCGTAAGGCCTATCAACAAAATCTTTTTTCCTCTTGTTCCTGAGCTCATGCCGATTCGATCGCACCCTATGACGTCATTTTCCGTCATAAAAAAACGGCCGCCATTTTGAATTTTCCAAAAAACCTACTTTTGCGAACTCGTCCTAGACGGTTTGTCCGATTTTCACCAAAATCGCACCGGATCATCTCCAGGCAGTGCTGACAAAAAGTTATGGAATTCAAGATGATTCGAATAACCGTTTTCGATAAACGCGTAAACAAAATTTACGTAGCGCTTGCGAAAACAGACGTGAGGTTGTATCTCCGCAACGCTTACTCGTTTTCACACCAAACTTGGTACGTGTTATCACAAGCAAGACCTGAGGCTACGTGCTGCGTTTCGGCGCAGCGCCACCTAGTGGTCCGGAGATATGAAAAATTGCTATTTTTGCTCGTAACTTCTGAACGGTTTCTCCAAAAATCAAAACTTGGTCTCGTTAGATTCAGGGCGTCATGCGAGTCGACCGATATCCAATTTTCCCAGATCGGCCATTTTGGCTGTCGGCCATTTTGAATTATGTGCTAAAATGCTGTATTTTTGAACGCATGAACGAATTGTTACGAAACTCGTATGGGTCATCAGTACGATGCCCTGAAGGAGCCTGAGAAGTTTCGAAACAGCGCCACCTAGTGGTGAATTGTTTTATTCAAACGCTTATAACTTTGGGTGTGGTACACTTATTTCACGGGAGTCATATTTTTGAGTCCTGAATCGTTGCCGAGTCCAACGATACAAATATGTCGGGTTTCGTCTCACGGATGCGTGTAGCGTAGCGATTTAGCGCGAAAAAAACACTTGGCGATATCTTCAAAACCGCTGTTCCGATCGAGACGAAACCACCGCCAGAAACACGGAATCATAGCTTGTTAACTATTCGCTAATGCCCAAATGCGTAAATATTGATAGTAAGGGTAGTAAAATTCAAACAAAGTCATGTGTCAGTCATTTTTTACGTGTTTTTTCATATAAATGTTTATAACTCGGAAGTAAATTGAGATATTTGCACCAAAATTGACACACATATGTATGGGGTCACTCTGAGGACACATAAAAAAAATTGTGGGACTGAGCCTCTTGGTGGCGCTATAATAGAACAAAACGTGAAATTCCCATTGACTTCAATACAGTTTTGTGAAATAACAATGCTATACTAAACAAATGCTTTGGTCTAACATTACGAAACTCAGTGTGTGCCATAAGCAGCATGCCCTGAAGGTACTCAAAAGATTTTGAGACAGCGCCACCTGTTGGTCAAAAGTTATAATTAATTTCTGAGAACGCTAATAACTTTTGAATAAATTTGCCTATTGCAATGAAACTGATCTTAATAGATTCCTTGGGTTATGCCGAAAACATAGATATCAGGTTTTGCATAATCAGCCAAACTTCCTGTCCGCCATCTTTATTTCTTTGAAAAGCCTTCTTTTTCGAACTCCTCCTAGACCGTTTGTCCGATTTTCACGAAAATTAATCGTATCATCTCCAGACCGTGCCGACTAAAAGTTATGAATTGCACGATGATAGACAAAACCGTTTTCGTATACCACAGCATCAAAGTTTAGGCATGCTGCCAAAATTACTATTTAGGCTTTATCTCTGCAATGCCTTCACATTTTGACACCAAACTTTGCATGTGTCATTGTCACCTCCCTCTGACCACATCACATCTATTTCGTAACTGCGCCACCTATTGTTCGAAAGTGATAACCCATTAAATCATCTTATAAGTTAATGTTTATGTGATTTTTTTTAGCCATTTGCCCAAAGTTCTCTCAAAATGCCCTTAATTGCTCCTTGCTGCAGTTGGTCTGCCACTCCTGCCTTTGGCATATGTTGCCGCTTCTTGCGCTTGGCCCGGTAATGGCTGCTTGCAGCTATATTTATTAGGCCAAGCACCGAAGGTGCGGAGGCACCTATTGTAATCCGTGCTGGTTCTTATTAGGGCCAAGCACCGAAGGTGCGGCACCTATTGTATCTGTGCGGTTATTATTATTTATTATTATTCTTCTTCCGACTGGGCGTCTATGGCAGCCCATAGACCGGTTTGCGGGAAAGTTGTTTTGGTTTGACATTCTGATAGAGGACAGTCCCAACTTTAAATACACCAATTTTGGTGTCTCTAACTCATTCCCTCTAGCGCCACCAACTGTCCAAAGTTGCACTTTTATTATGCTAATAACTTTTGAACCGTAAGGCCTATCAACAAAATTCTTTTTCCTCTTATTCCTGAGCTCATGCCGATTCGATCGCAACCTATGACGTCATTTTCCGTCATAAAAACATGGCCGCCATTTTGAATTTCCAAAAAACGTACTTTTGCGAACTCGTCCTAGACCGTTTGTCCGATTTTCACCAAAATCGCACCGGATCATCTCCAGGCAGTGCTGACAAAAAGTTATGGAATTCAAGATAATTCGAATAACCGTTTTCGATAAACCGCACAAACTAATTTTACGTAGCGCTTGCGAAAACAGACGTAAGCTTTATCTCCGCAACGCTTCATCCTTTCAGACCAAACTTGGTACATTATCACAAGCATGACCTGAGGCTACATGCTGCGTTTCGGCGCAGCGCCACCTAGTGGTCCGGAGATATGAAAAATGGCTATTTTTGCTCGTAACTTCTGAACGGTTTCTCCAAAAATCAAAAACTTGGTCTCGTTAGATTCAGGGCGTCATGCCGAGTCCACGATATCCAATTTTCCCAGATCGGCCATTTTGGCTGTCGGCCATTTTGAATTATGTGCTAAAATGCTGTATTTTTTGAACGCATGAACGAATTGTTACGAAACTCGGTATGGGTCATCAGTACGATGCCCTGAAGGAGCCTGAGAAGTTTCGAAACAGCGCCACCTAGTGGTGAATTTTTTTTTCAAACGCTTATAACTTTGGTGTGGTACACTTATTTTCACGGGAGTCATATTTTTGAGGTCCTGAATCGTTGCCGAGTCCAACGATACAAAATATGTCGGGTTTCGTCTCACGGATGGCGTAGCGTAGCGATTTAGCGCGAAAAAAAACACTTGGCGATATCTTCAAAACCGCTGTTCCGATCGAGACGAAACCACCGTCAGAAACACGGAATCATAGCTTGTTAACTATACGCTAATGCCCAAATGCGAAAATATTGATAGTAAGGGGTAGTAAAATTCAAACAAAGTCATGTGTCAGTCATTTTTTACGTGTTTTTTCATATAAATGTTTATAACTCGGAAGCGAATTGAGATATTTCACCAAAATTGACACACATATGTATGGGGTCACTCTGAGGACACATAAAAAAATTGTGGGACTGAGCCTCTTGGTGGCGCTATAATAGAACAAAACGTGAAATTCCCATTGACTTCAATACAGCTTTGTGAAATACAATGCTATACTAAACAAATGCTTTGGTCTAACATTACGAAACTCAGTGTGTGCCATAAGCAGCATGCACTGAAGGTACTCAAAAGATTTTGAGACAGCGCCACCTGTTGGTCAAAAGTTATAATTAATTTCTGAGAACGCTAATAACTTTTGAACAAATTTGCCTATTGCAATGAAACTGATCTTAATAGATTCCTTGGGTTATGCCGAAGACATAGATGTCAGGTTTTGCATAATCAGCTAAACTTCCTGTCCGCCATCTTTATTTCTTTGAAAAACCTTCTTTTTCGAACTCCTCCTAGACCGTTTGTCCGATTTTCACGAAAATTGAATCGTATCATCTCCAGACAGTGCCAAATAAAAGTTATGGATTGCGTGACGATAGACAAAACCGTTTTCGTATACCACAGCATCAAATTTGAGGCATGCTGCCAAAATGACTATTTAGGCTTTATCTCTGCAATGCCTTCACATTTTGACACCAAACTTTGCATGTGTCATTGTCACCTCACTCTGACCACATCACATCTATTTTGTAACTGCGCCACCTATTGTTCGAAAGTGATAACCCATTAAATCATCTTATAAGTTAATGTTTATGTGATTTTCTTTGCCATTTGCCCAAAGTTCTCTCAAAATGCCCTTAATAGCTCCTTGCTGCAGTTGGTCTGCCACTCCTTGCCATTTTGGCATATGTTGCCGCTTCTTGCGCTTGGCCCGGTAATGGCTGCTTGCAGCTATATTTATTATT